TTACATAAAGACTTGAACATCCCAATAATTTCAGACACTGCAAAAAAAAACAAAAAAAAAAAACTACAACTTTCACCAAAGACTAACTCACAACACAAATCCTATGACAAAAAACCTTAAAAAACACAAGAAACCCGTACAGCCCACCTCGACGATTACGTATTCGGTGGCCAATAGACCTGCTGAACTGAACTATTTCCTGGATTGTAATGAAACGCTGTGAAGCTGCCAAATAAGTTGTTCATTGCAAAAAAATTTGCAGATCGCAAATTTAAGTTTTTTATATCCAATTTTATGTTAATAAATAAATAAAATAATAAAAACTCTGGGACACAGTCCCTTGAGAATAACAAAATAGAACAAAATTAAAAGATTACATCTGGCCAAAATAAAATCAATTGAAAAAAAGAAATAATGTAAAGAAAATATAAGGTAAACATTCTATATACAAAACAAACGAAACTATATACAAAACAATTAACACTGTGACAGGATACTTAAAGCTATTTGCACTGATAGACGAGTATACACTTTTAATAAAACAATAAAGAATTAAAAAATTCTTCATTACAACAAGCAATATAAAGTGCCTGATTAATATATAAATACATTATCATTTAAATGTTGATTAATGTATAAATACATCATCATCATTTCTTTTTTGAATGTGGGTATAGATGGGGAATGTCGAATTTTGATAGGGAGGGAATTCCAGAAATTGATAGAGCGAGAAATAAAGGAGTTTTGGAATGAGGCAGATCTGTGAGAAGGCATGAAAATGTTAGAAGGTATAGTGTTATGGTATTTATTGTAATAAACATGATTGACAAAAAACACATTTCATTCATAAATATAAAATGTTTAAAAATAATGATTTTTTTAAATATTTCTCACTTAAAATTGTTATGACACTGTGTTTTTCTTCCAGATCTCCGTCATAGAAATTTATATGCATTCATCAGTCACAAAATAAATGTTTTCTTACTAAAATTTACATTTGAAATGAAGAAATCTACTAATTGCTTGTTTATTTTCACGGAAATGTAAAATTAAGTTTTTCACTAATAAATATGCATCGATTTTTTTTTGACAGAAATATGGGAGAAAACACAATTTCATAACCACCTTATATGAATAATATTTGAAAAGTCATTATTTTTAATTTGTTTATATTTTTATAAGTGAAATATGTTTTTAGGTAAGTATCTTTCTTACAATAAATCTCATATCATGGAGAAACATAAAATAAAAGCTATAAAATAGAAAATCATATCATTTCTTTTCTCAACTTGAGGAGAATCTCAAATTTTTTTTTAATAAATCTCAAATTAATTAATAAGTACTTAAAGTTTATTAAACTAGAAAGTTTTTCTAAAAGTGGGGTAAATGTTAGTACAGTTGAAGGGTGATAAAAAAAATCACAAATAATTTTTTTTTCATAAATGGATCTTAGCTATGTTTGTCCACTCAATACCCATTTTACTCTTTAAATAGTTTTGACAATGACAAACTCTGCTTTCATTTAAACTAAATTTTATCTTGTTTAATATACAGCAATGCTTAGTTACTTCAGTCAAACATTTTTTATATTATCGCTTCTTATTCAACAAAAAAACGTTACTCGCTTAAAAAAGCACAAATCTTATATTTCCTATTTTTCTGCCGGAAATTTGGCAATTGCTTATACGAACTTTTTTGTAAATCATGTGTTCTACTTTATTGTTCCTATTTTGGACTCCCATAGTTTAATTAATAACCCGTATCTATATAAATAAAATAAAGATTTTGTCTGTACATTGAATAGAATCAACCCGTTTTATGATATCTTTCCGTTTCATACATTGCAGACACCAAATCCACTTTTAAAAAAATTTTTATCTGTCTGTATGTCCGCATTGCAACGAAATTTTGTCAGAGGTAATAATGGCTTATTGTATACTTTTGAAATTTTAACATTATATTAGGATTTGCTTGACTTAAAATAGAGGCTTTAAATGAAAACAAAATATTGAGTAGAACCAATGTTATGAATTCTTGAGTAATTTGTCTAGAGATCTCGGTTAATGTTGATAATAAATGTTAATAACAAACATATGTTTATAGGTTAAAGAACATCTATATAAATAAAATAAAGGTTTTGTCTGGACATTGAATAGAATCAACCCGTTTTATGATATCTTTCCGTTTTATACATTGCAGACACCAAATCCACGTTTAAAAAAATTGTTGTCTGTCTGGATGTCCGCATTGTCCAACGAAATTTTGTCAGGGGTAAGCTCAGCAATGGCTTATTGTAAACTTTTGAAATTTTAACATTATATTAAAATTTGCTTGACTTAAAACATATTCTTTAAATGAAAACAAAATATTGAGTAAAACCAAAGTTCTGAATGAATTCTTGAGTAATTTGCTTAGAGAACACGGTTAGGCAGTTACTTCGATTCTAATCCCAACCTACTCTACCGCGAGCCACATTTAAAAGTTGTACTACTCAACTGATGGAAAACATTATCACAACTCAACGGAAAAAATCCGGAATACCGAAAATCTGTAACCCGTTGTCACATAAAACGGGTAAAACACACTCATTTTTCAACTTTGTCCGATCTTCCCGTTGAAGGTGTCATTCGATTCAATTTCCCGAGCCTAACAAATGTTGTTGTATACATTTTTAGGATTAACCAAACGAATTAGCAGGAAATCGGAAAAAAAACTCCCATAAATTTCAGATCAAGTTCTAATTTTACACGGATGTAGGTGACTCAGTGTCCAATGTTATTTTGCCAGCGATAAATTCAGAAGAGTTCAAAGAAGTGGAGAGACTACAACTCTTTATGATTAATAAATCGACTCCACAATCTCGTCGCTTCATCATAAATGAAAATTAAACACTTACCAAAATTTCAATGGATCGGTGGTGGTCGGTTTAGTTGTGTGGCACCTAAACAAAAAGCGGAATAACAAAGTTTTTGTTATGACTGTTGTGAAACCTTGACTTCCATAAGTCCAATTTCAAAAATTTCAGCCCCGCCATCAAAAATTTCAAAACAACTCCACTCAACTATACACTCGTCAACGACGGGTACATCAGCTAGTATCATATAAATATAGCGCATATTTTCTTACTCGTTAAAATGGCAACAAATACATCGCATTATTGCGACCTAAGAAGTATATTTAAGTTTATACTGTTTCTTATAAAATTTGTAATTTTTTTTCTGTTTTAATTGAATTTATTTTGTCAGTGAACCTACAGTGAAACTTAATTTATATTGATCTGAACAATTTGTTTTATATTAATGTATTTATCTTTTTTCTTTCTTATATTGTCCTCATGTATTATATTATGTTTTATATTGTACCTGTTATTTACAAACTAACTACAATTAATATTGATTGGGACAGACTCCATGTAAAAAATAAAGATAATTTGTAAATAAAATGTGTTTTTAGGTAAGCACGTTTATTATAATACATCTCATATCATGGAATACATGAAATAAAAGCTATAAAATAGAAAATCATATCATTTCTTTACTCAACTTGAGGAGAATCTCAAAAATTTTTCTAATAAACCTCAAATTAATTAATAAGTACTTAAAGCTTATTAAACTAGAAAGTTTTTCTAAAACTGGAGTAAATGAAGTACAGTTGAAGGGTGATACAAAAAAAAACACAAATAATTTATGACTTTTTTATAGATGGTACTTATAAATATATCAATAGTCCCCTTTAAATAGTTTTAACAATGACAAACTCTACTTTCATTTAAAATAAATTTTATCTAGTTTAATATACAGCAATGCTTAGTTACTTCAGTCAAGCATTTTTTATATTATCGCTTCTTATTCAACAAAAAACGTGACTCGCTTAAAATAGTACAAATCTTAAATTTCCTACTTTTATACTGTAAATTGGACAGTTGTTAAACGAACTTTTTTTTAAAGTTTAAAGAGGTGGAAGTCAAGCCAAACGGCACAATATTCTTTTTTTTTTATCGATTTTGTGATCACATTATCTTCCAATTCAAGTGAAAAGCAAATGGGTATATACGAGGTTTTGGTACCTAATTAAATAGAGAAATTTTACCGATCTGCAAATTGAAAATGCCCTAATTCCGAGAATTTTCGTAAATAAAAATGTTGTAGTATACGATGGGATGAAGCTATTCGCGAAGTTTCAGACGGATGTTAATAATTTGATGAAAATGGATATAGTACCACGGACGAATATACTTGGTATCCCGTAGGTAGAGGTAAATTTTTATAGGACTGGAAACAGACCTCATGGACAATTTTTTATTACATAATATAATATAAATTTAATAAAAGTTTTATATAAATAATGGCCCAATTTTCAGTAGAAAAGTAGAAAGTTTTGTGTTTTTTGAAGCGCCATGTATTTTGTATTTTGTTACCTAATAAGGAAATATTTAATTTATGTAAATAATATATGCTTATTATTATTACTGTAAATTGGATAAAATGTAATTCAAACAAATTCAAATAGACTGTGCTTATTATTTTTATCTTTTTTCTTTCTTATATTGTCCTCATGTATTATATCATGTTTTATATTGTACCTGTTATTTACAAACTAACTACAACTAATATTGATCGGGACAGACTCCATGGCTACGCTGTTTATAAGCCAATAAATAGATAAAAACATTTTTGTAGTTCATGATGTCTACGGTACACCATGTATATTTTCTAAATTAATTACACTACTTCTGAAGTAATTAGCAATATTTTTATTCAAATACAACTTAAATATTGAGAGTTGATCGCAATAGTATAAAGTAGTTACTCCATGAAATTTTAATTATATCAATTTAACCTAACTTCGAAATTCGAAAATACATAAAAAGTGTATAATTAGGTTTTTAATTACAGAATTTAATCAGTTTATTCAACAATTTCATGGAGAAAATCAAGCAGTTAAAAAAAAAATGAATGAAATTATGAGATGATTAGAAAATAGAAAAATAATTTTGATACCTTCAGCAAAGCAGCTTCAAATAATCACAAGTGCCTCCATAATCTCGTTCAAAGCTTCCTTAATCTGCAAAAATTAAAAAAATAATTTAGTTTTTTTTTTTACAAAATTACAAAATTACAAAATATTTATTTTATATATTGAAATAATATTTTTCAACTTGCAGAGATATCCCTAATTAAAAGAACATTGGTCTCAAATCCTGTCAAAACCGAAATTGAGGTCCCTAACTGTAAAGTTAGAGCCCAGATTTAATCTAATGTTAAAGAAATCACATTGGATACTGAATAAACATTTTAAAAAATACGAATATTTAATTGATATTTGTGTATTTTATTATTATTATTTATTTGTTACTTTTCTTCTGTTTATTTTATATTTTCTGTATTAGACCTGGGCAGAATTTATTTGAAATAATAATTCCAAAATAAATCGTCAAATAACCTTCCCCAGTTATGTCTGAAATAATTTATTTCATGGAATAACTTAAGCATTATTTCCTAAATAATTATTCTTGAGGTTTTTCGGGATTTCGATACCTTTGAGAGGGAGAAGAAAGCTCTGTTTGCTTAATATAATGTTTAAATATGTAATATTAAATCACTAGCTATAACTAGTGTTGTCAAAATTCTAGACCAAGATTATCACTTTAGTCTTGTAGTTACCTATTAGCTCATTACATAGATATTGCGTGGTACAGACCCTTTTTATTGAATTATTGACATCCGCCTGAAACTTCGTAAATAGTTTCATCTCATCGTAACCAACAACTATTTTATTTACGAAAACTCTTGGAATAGGGGCATTTCAATCAGGAGGGGGGGAAAACATTGTCTATTTAATTTGGTACTAAAAAATAGTGTTGGAAATAACTAGTGTTGTCAAAATTCTAGACCAAGACGAGTCTTCGTCTTGGTCTTGCGCAAGATTATCACTTTAGTCTTGTAGTTACCTGTTAGCTTATTGCTATATATAGTCCGTGGTACAGACCCCTTTTTATTTAATTATTAACATCCACATGAAACTTCGTAAATAGTTTCATCTCATCGTAACCAACAACTATTTTATTTACTAAAACTCTTGGAATAGGGACGTTTTCAATCTGGAGGGAGGTAAATTTTGTCTATTTAATTTGGTACTAAAAAATAGTGTTGGAAATAACTAGTGTTGTCAAAATTCTAGACCAAGACGAGTCTTCGTCTTGGTCTTGCGCAAGATTATCACTTTAGTCTTGTAGTTACCTGTTAGCTTATTGCTATATATAGTCCGTGGTACAGACCCCTTTTTATTTAATTATTAACATCCACATGAAACTTCGTAAATAGTTTCATCTCATCGTAACCAACAACTATTTTATTTACTAAAACTCTTGGAATAGGGACGTTTTCAATCTGGAGGGAGGTAAATTTTGTCTATTTAATTTGGTACTAAAAAATAGTGTTGGAAATAACTAGTGTTGTCAAAATTCTAGACCAAGACGAGTCTTCGTCTTGGTCTTGCGCAAGATTATCACTTTAGTCTTGTAGTTACCTGTTAGCTTATTGCTATATATAGTCCGTGGTACAGACCCCTTTTTATTTAATTATTAACATCCACATGAAACTTCGTAAATAGTTTCATCTCATCGTAACCAACAACTATTTTATTTACTAAAACTCTTGGAATAGGGACGTTTTCAATCTGGAGGGAGGTAAATTTTGTCTATTTAATTTGGTACTAAAAAATAGTGTTGGAAATAACTAGTGTTGTCAAAATTCTAGACCAAGACGAGTCTTCGTCTTGGTCTTGCGCAAGATTATCACTTTAGTCTTGTAGTTACCTGTTAGCTTATTGCTATATATAGTCCGTGGTACAGACCCCTTTTTATTTAATTATTAACATCCACATGAAACTTCGTAAATAGTTTCATCTCATCGTAACCAACAACTATTTTATTTACTAAAACTCTTGGAATAGGGACGTTTTCAATCTGGAGGGAGGTAAATTTTGTCTATTTAATTTGGTACTAAAAAATAGTGTTGGAAATAACTAGTGTTGTCAAAATTCTAGACCAAGACGAGTCTTCGTCTTGGTCTTGCGCAAGATTATCACTTTAGTCTTGTAGTTACCTGTTAGCTTATTGCTATATATAGTCCGTGGTACAGACCCCTTTTTATTTAATTATTAACATCCACATGAAACTTCGTAAATAGTTTCATCTCATCGTAACCAACAACTATTTTATTTACTAAAACTCTTGGAATAGGGACGTTTTCAATCTGGAGGGAGGTAAATTTTGTCTATTTAATTTGGTACTAAAAAATAGTGTTGGAAATAACTAGTGTTGTCAAAATTCTAGACCAAGACGAGTCTTCGTCTTGGTCTTGCGCAAGATTATCACTTTAGTCTTGTAGTTACCTGTTAGCTTATTGCTATATATAGTCCGTGGTACAGACCCCTTTTTATTTAATTATTAACATCCACATGAAACTTCGTAAATAGTTTCATCTCATCGTAACCAACAACTATTTTATTTACTAAAACTCTTGGAATAGGGACGTTTTCAATCTGGAGGGAGGTAAATTTTGTCTATTTAATTTGGTACTAAAAAATAGTGTTGGAAATAACTAGTGTTGTCAAAATTCTAGACCAAGACGAGTCTTCGTCTTGGTCTTGCGCAAGATTATCACTTTAGTCTTGTAGTTACCTGTTAGCTTATTGCTATATATAGTCCGTGGTACAGACCCCTTTTTATTTAATTATTAACATCCACATGAAACTTCGTAAATAGTTTCATCTCATCGTAACCAACAACTATTTTATTTACTAAAACTCTTGGAATAGGGACGTTTTCAATCTGGAGGGAGGTAAATTTTGTCTATTTAATTTGGTACTAAAAAATAGTGTTGGAAATAACTAGTGTTGTCAAAATTCTAGACCAAGACGAGTCTTCGTCTTGGTCTTGCGCAAGATTATCACTTTAGTCTTGTAGTTACCTGTTAGCTTATTGCTATATATAGTCCGTGGTATAGACCCCTTTTTATTTAATTATTAACATCCGCATGAAACTTCGTAAATAGTTTCATCTCATCGTAACCAACAACTATTTTATTTACTAAAACTCTTGGAATAGGGACGTTTTCAATCTGGAGGGAGGTAAATTTTGTCTATTTAATTTGGTACTAAAAAATAGTGTTGGAAATAACTAGTGTTGTCAAAATTCTAGACCAAGACGAGTCTTCGTCTTGGTCTTGCGCAAGATTATCACTTTAGTCTTGTAGTTACCTATTAGCTCATTACATAGATATTGCGTGGTACAGACCCTTTTTATTGAATTATTGACATCCGCCTGAAACTTCGTAAATAGTTTCATCTCATCGTAACCAACAACTATTTTATTTACGAAAACTCTTGGAATAGGGGCATTTCAATCAGGAGGGGGGGAAAACATTGTCTATTTAATTTGGTACTAAAAACTTGTAAATACCCATTTGCTTTCTACTTGGATTGTAAGATAATTTGACCACAAAATCGATAAAAATAGGTGGCCTATAAAAATATTGGACCGTTTGTCCTATATCTCATTATTTTGACAATTAGGAGGTGCAGGTCACGCCAAACGGCTCAATATTTTTTAGGTTTTTTCTCGAATTTATAGTTAAATTATCTTACGATTCAGGTAGAAGAAAAATGGGTATTTACGAGTTTTTTGTACCTAATCAAATCGACAAAGTTTGCCCTCCCCCCTCGAGATTGGAAACCCCTCAATTCCGAAAATTAAATATAATATTTGTCGATTACGATGAGAGTTGTGATTTATTACTTTTCTACCTATACTAGGTAAGCAAAGTATTGCGATCCGGTAAAATTTCTGATATGCGATTTTTGATGGATTTGTACGTTTCAAAAACCCCTGAGTCCGAAAAATACATGTTTAGCCATAGTTCTATCTGTCTGTCTGTGCCAAGAATTTCTCGGGAACTAGTTAATCAATTTTGTAGCTTTTTTTTTTTTAGAGTTTTGACTACTGATGCCTGTGACACAAATTGGGCATTCTAACAATTTTGACGAAACTTTCCTATAATTGTCGTTTCAATTTTTATATAAGTAATCCGAAAAACATATTTTGGTCTTTTTTTTTAAGTTACTGAACTTCACCGCAAAACTATGTAAAAATCGTTCATTTTGGACAACTATTAACGAAGTTACAGCTATTCAATTTCATGTGAAGATTACGGGTTCATATCCTGGTGTCAGAAAGGGATGATTGAGAGAAAAAAAGATGACTTAGTGAAACTAAGAAAATCTGTTGCCTGCATCACACAAGCTTCACTATTACCTCCACTTTTAACAGAAATTATTGTTTGACAAAATTGGGCTATGTCAAAAAGTTCTTTATTGGCAATATTAGAGGGTATTGAATTTTTTACACTGATCTACCACAAATCTGGTTTATATTGTTTTAGTTTATCAAAGAAATCGTACTCAAATCTTTTCTTTGATCAATTTTCAGGAAAATAAATATAATTCAATTTTTTTTTTCTTAATGGAGATATTTAAAGATATATATATATATATATAATTTTTTTTATTTCTTAATGACATTTACAACTGTATTAAATAAACACATCTAGTAAATTTGAACACAATGGATATAATGACATGAAAACACTTACTGAGTAACTACCCAATGGTAGCACTCTAATGATATGTTTACATTAGGAGATCACGGGGCCATCTTCTTTTCAGACGCCTCGGAGGGTTATCAGGAATTGAAGAAGAAGAAAGGTTATGTACGAGAGGGTTTGGATGATTCTGGAGTTTTTTATGGAAGGAGAGGTATCTGGATTGGGCCAAATCGGAAACATATGGAACATAAAGGTCTTTATGGATGATTTTATTTGTGACAAAGTAAGGAGCATTGAGGATTTTCGAAGGATTTTGGATTGTAAGGATTGTATACGAGAGGAATTCGATGGTTTAGTGGAGCCCCATAGCTCAACTCCGTAAGTCCAAATAGGGCTTATTATAGTCAAGTATATGAGTCTTTTGTAATTAATTGGAAGTTAAGAGCGTTTGTCTAGTAA